CCCCACACACACACACCCCTGTAGGTCCCAGCGGTGACTCACCAGACGTCCCCTGTGGGTTGAGGTGGCTGTTGGCCTGTTCTGTTGACCGGTACAATTTCTCCAGCTCCGACTCACTCATGGCCTTGTTCAGCTCACATTTCCTGACAGGGGAAAACATTGGTTAAAAGCATCGTGAGGAAATCAGGATATCGTCAAAACAATGAAACCGAAGAAATTGACATTTTCCTGTCCGTAGGATAATTTTTATAATTTCCTCTTTTTTTTCCCTCCTTTTTTGTCCTATTACATTTTTATGTCCATAAAAAAACCCACGTTTCTTTGAGGATTTTAGGACTATTGAAAGACGTTAATTAGTCACTTTAAGCACAAGAGGGCCATCCCGAAAAATGCTAATATGAGAAAATGGAAGGTAAAGTTTTTGCCCCTGACAAGGAGAGTTTTCTCGATTACCAAACAAATATACGCACCAATGAAACCAAACTTCTCCTCTATAGGTAGGGCAATGCCCAATTTTGGTGAAGGTCAAGATTTCTGGAAACCCTCGAAATCTGGGTTAGCCCGCTTGTCCTTAAAAAAGTGACCAATTAAAGGGATTTTAAAAAATGTTTTAAGTAAATTTTCAGTTTCAAAGGACACTCAAGCTTTGGAAATCAGCAAACTTTGGCGGCCATTTTGTTGCTAATTTTACCCTCTTACAACTCTTACTTAACCAAATAGGCGACCCTCATATCCTCCAACCGCACACATCTCGACTTCTATTCACGATAAAATGTGTAGTTTTCCATCAAAAGCAAGACAAACGAACAAGTTCCAAAACAAAATAAAACAAGGGTCTTTGAAGTGACAGGCTTGCCTTGTCTTTCCCTCAAGAACAATCTGGCTGTCCAAAAGATACTCCACAAATCTTATCATGTATTATAGTAGTACCAAATCTACACTATTTTTTGTCTTATCATGTATGACAGAGGTATCAAATCTACACAATTTGCGATCTTTGAAGAGTCTCATCATTGGACTCTGGTCTACCTGAGTGAGAAATAAGTTTACAGTTGATAGGCCAATATGACTGACCTAGATCTACATCTAATCGAAACGTACTCGTATATTAACGTGAGAGCCGAACAAGAGAGCTAGGTACCTGGCGAAGTCGTTGAAGGCCGTCTGCCCCATCCTTGTGGCCCCTTTCTCGGACAGAGAGGCGTTGTAGATCTCTGCCACACGCTCCAGCGTCCTGTAGGGCTGTAGCCGATCCCCATACCGCTTGGGCAACAGTTGGATCAGGCTGGACTTCTCATCTCCCGCCACGTCCTGCTCCACGGCTGGACCTTTGGTCTTCCCCTCCGCCTCTTTCTCTGAGAACAACTTGGGCTGGCCTCTGGGGGAAAGAGAATATTATGGTCACTTTTAAGCACAAGGGGGCTCTCCCGAAAAGTGTTGTTTTGTTGAGAATTCGAAGTTAAAGTTTTTGGACCCTTGTTCGATTTCTTTAAAAAGACAAGGAGAGTTTTCTCAATAACCAAACAAATATACACACCAATGAAACCAAACTTCTCCTATAGGTAGGGCAATGCCTATTTTTGGTGTAGGCCAAGATTTCTGGAAACCCCCGAAATCTGGGTTAGCCACCTGGTCCTTAAAAGCGACCATAATATCAGTGGGTTTGTTTAATAACGTTTTTTAAAAATGTGTTTGTTGGTTCATTTTGGGACACCTGAACAGACATAAGGGTCTTGAACATCTAGCTCTCACTGGCAAAATTGAAGGTAGACGAGGCAGGGGTAGGCCCAGAACAACCTACTTAGGGAACCTAAACTAATGGGTAACGGGGAAAGATCAGGGAAACGTTGCTTTATTAAGAGCATCCAAGAAAAGGAATGAATGGAGAACCATGAT